TAGGCCCTTATTGAATAAATGAATGAATGACTTTCTGTGAGTGGGGCTGGTAGAGATTTCTTCTTCCTTAATGACCACTGTTAGTAAATTATTAAGGCATAATCATTGATAGAGAATGAAGGGCCAAATTTAGATATCAAAAGGAATTTTTAAGTTTAACCCAGTTAAAAAAAAGATTTATGTAGATGGTGGGACTTGGAACTGTTTTCTGAATAATGAAGCAAGGTATTTCAATTTAGGAAAGAACATTTTAAAAAGGCAAAATGTAGACATTAGAATTTTAATAATAAACTGACATTTATTAAACATGCATGTACGAGGTGTCTGTATACATTATCTTATTTTAGACTCACTGCAATTTTGAAAAGACAGTACAGCACAGGGATTAAAAGTGCACACTTTGGGTTCAGATTAGGGCTGAGTAATCTTGGGAAAATTAACATATCTATGACTGTGTGCATTTCTGTGGAGTGAGGATAATATAGCAACATCTCATAGGATTGTGGTGAGGATTTAAAAAGTTTATATATATATAGCTGAGAATGCTCAAATATTAAGTAAATACTATTCTTGTTTTGTTGTTTTGTAAATATGTTTTATTGATTTCAGAGAGAGGGAGGGGAAGGGAGAGAGAGATAGAAACATCAATGAAGACAGAGAATCACTGACTGACTGGCTCCTGCATGCCCCCTACTGGGGATTGAGTTCACAACCTGGGCATATGCCCTGACTGGGAATGGACCCAGGGACCTCTTGGTTCATGGGTCAACGCTCAACCATTGAGCCACATGGGCTGGGCAAAAAAAAATTGTTTTGTTAATCCTCACCTGAGGATCTAGCTTTGACCAGTTTAATTTTCAGCGCTCCAGCTAGAGAACCTAAGATGGGCAGAGGTAGAGATTTTTCCTTCCCTACAGTATACATACTGATGTAGGGGAGGAAAAAATAATTTCCCCCAAACCCTTCTGAGTTCTTGGCTGAGTTCACTGTAATAAAATACATATTAACAAGAGAAAAAAATAGAAGTTTAGCAAGGATGCCCCCTTCCCCCTGCACTTGATATCCCTACTATGTAATCTTACATCCACTGACCCCCTTATTCTACTAGTTGGCTATATGAACATCCTCAGCTGTCTGCTGTATTCAGAATTGAGCCTTATCTCTTTGTCCTGAATAACCTTACCTTTTCCTTACTTGTTGACATCTTAAGTGTCAGAATAATTTCTTCTTTAACAATACCACAAAATCAATCCTAACATTCTTTATACTTACTTAAATAAAACTTTACATATGCAATTAATGCCTATGAAATTATTTTTGATGTCATTCATAATAGAGCAAAGAAATGAAAACTATACTGAAATAGGAATTTCTAGTCAAATGGTGGCATAGGTACTCCCTTCCACACACATCAAAATTACAACTAAGCTACAGAACAACCATCATTCAGAACCGCCTGAAACCTGGCTGAACAGAAGTCCTATAACTAAGGCTATAAAGAAGAAGCCACATGAGACTGGTATGAGGGGTGGAGATGTGAAATTGTAGTTACAGAATAGTCATAGGGATGTAAGCACAGCATAGTGTGCATAGTTAATAATACTGCAATAACTATTTTGGTGTCAGGTGGGTATGAGATTTATCAGGATGACCACTTAGTAAGTTATAAAATGTCTAATCACTGGATTATACACCTGAAACTAATATAATATTGTATGTCCAATGT